CTAGGTAGTCAGCAGGCCAGTGCTTGCCGATAGCCTCGGAGCGAGTGTCATTCCTGGAGGGTGACGGTGATGGAGGCATGGGTTCATCATCCTCTGAGAGGTCAATGATGTTGGTGTCCAAGACACCATGTATCCTCTTGGACGGAGCCTTGAGAGAATACATAGCTCGTTTTCTTTTTGTATGCTGTTGACTCTGTTGGTTACGGTGACACAAATTTCTGGTGGTACTTGGTGATGTGGCAGTTGTAGAATTGGGAGGCAATGGGCAGTCGTCAATCAAGGGAACAGTGAACGGTATAGGGGAGAGACGATGACGTCCTTGAGCCTTCTTCACAGCCGGCTGATCCTCACTTTCAGAGTCATCAGTGGATGGTGTCACCGTTCCCTGACCAATCTCCTTTAACCTCTCACGAATGTACCCCCGCTCTGCAGGGAGATTGTATTGTAGATGGGGCAGGGTCTCCTTCAAGGTGGCATGAAGGTGCTTGTCGAATTCGGGGGGGTCCTCAACATGGCTAGCTTTGAGGAAAATACAATCACCTGCATGAAGCTCTACCACATAACCTGCATCAACACTGACCCAAACACCAAGAGTGTGGTGATAGAGTTGGACGTGTGAGTGAATGGTGCTGCCAGCGCCTGTGAGGTCAACAACTGAAAGGATTTGCAGGGCAAGGGTAAAAAAAGGCCACAAAAATCCTGATTGGAATTCATGAACGGTGGGTGGTCGACGATCCTCCGACCATGCATATACGACAACGCCGTGCTTAGCTTTGGTAGCATTTGCCAGATGTTGTGCATCTCGCTTCCGATTCTCTTCCACAAGTTCTTGTTCGCACCGCCATTGCTCTATGAAAATAGGTGGCAGATGGGAAGCGTATCATGTATTCGGGCAAGCATCAAGGGAGGAGTCCGCTGGTGGGGTGGGTAAGGTATGATGTAGGGGCAGCTGCTGGGATGAGGGGATAGTGAGGCCATAGCCAGACGGCAGTGGATGGGCAATCAGACCCAAGGATACTGGAGGAGTGGATGGGGGTAACAGTGGAGGAATTACCATAGGTGGAGCTACCGGTGCCATTGCACTCGGAGATTTGGGTGGGTGGTTCTTTGAAGTACACCCTCCTGCAGAGCCAGCATTGCAATCTGGGGCGATGTGGGATTGACCACAACCTTGCACAGGGCACTTTCCATGAGTCGTGGTTCCATGGGATTGGATGGTGGTAACAAAGGAGAGTGGCAGTGGTTGGAGCGCCGATGGGCAGAGGGGCAGTGGTGGAAGGAGGATG